TTTTTTTGAGATAGGGTCTCCTTGTAGCCCCAGCTGTCCTGGAACTTACTATGTAGACCAGGCTGGCCTCAAACTCACAAAGATCCACCTGTCTCTGCCTCCTAAGTGCTGGGATTAAAGGCATGTGCCACCATGCCTGGCTAGGCATTTCTTTTTTTTAATTGTTGAGTGATGTGGGAGGGACTAGCTCACTGTGGGCGGTACCATCCCTGGGCAGGTGGCCCTGAGTTGTACAAAAAGTAGGGTAAGCACAGCCCAAGGGATCAAGTCAGCAAGTAAGCAGCATTCCTCCATGGTCTGTACTTCAGTTCCTGCCTTGAGCTCCTGCCCTGGCTCCCCTACATGATGAACTGTAAGTTGAAGATGAAATAAACCTTTTCCTCTTCAAGTTGGTTTTGGTCAGTGTTTTATCTCAGCAACAGAAACCAAACTATGACAAAACCCTATTGTCTTCAGGGGGCTCAAATGGCAGAAAGTGGAGTTGTGGTGCCATAGTGGAATCTTGGGCAGCCAGATGGTTAGCTGGAGGCCCTGGTGGAGGGGCAGACCTACAGAAAGTGTCAACCACCTTCCTGCCACTCCTGTTGCCAGCCTCACTTAGGGTGTCCAGGAGGGCTCCTGCTTGCAGACCTGGTCCTTGAAGCCCTGGATGGTAGCCCTCTAGGGTGATGGCCTTGGTGCTCCGAGTCTGGCACCCTACAACTCTGACAGCTGCTTACCGACTCATGTCTCAGTCTGGAAGCATCTGGCATTAAGGTCCTGAGAGGGACAATGAGTCAGGTTCATCCCTAGAGAGGTGCAGAGCTGGCAGGAGTCTCCCCAGGGCAAGGCCCTATGGAGGGGGCCACAGCCCTGCTTTTTGGAGGTTTCTGTGTCTGTGTGAGATGTCTGCAGGATGTCCTTTTCCTGGTGGCATCCGGTGCCGTGTGGGTGGGAACAGGAAATGAGCGACCAGTGGGGCAGGAAAATTGATAGCAGAGGCAGCGGAAAGGGGCTGCACCCTGAGGGTCTGGCTTACCTTCTTGTGAGCATGTGTGGTATGTGGAGGGTCCCTCAGGACCCATGTATCCTGTCCAACTGTTTGGTCAACCCAAACAGGCCTGGAACCAGGTCTTAGGGTCTATGATAAAAATGAGTGATGCTTTTGAATCAGGCATAGGGAGAGGAGCCAGAGGGAGACTAGGAGGGAGAGGTGTGGCAAGAGGTAGGGGCACCTATTAGAAAGGATGGACAACTTGCACAGGGCCCTAGGGCACGGCTTACCATATTACAGTGTGGTTGGTGCCTCCCCTCACCCTACCAACTGAGCAACCTCCAATTGCCACTTTGAGAGGTGGCCTCAGGAAGAGCAGGAATGAAGTTGGTTGAGATCTAGAAAACAGGAGCTGACGGTGGAGCGCTCTCCATCATGGAAGATCAAAGAGGTGTCGGTCACATGGCTGGCTCACTCCCTTCTGCTGACTGAGACCCTCAGTCAGCACGTCACTCACTTCAGCCTGGTGTGGCTGTGCTGGGGGCTCTGAGGGCAGGATGCTGGGCTACAGCCATGGGCAGAATGGCAGGGGGACAGGTCAGTGAGGGATGGAAGTGGGGAACATTATATATCCTGGAAGGGTGCTTGGTAAAGGACAGGATGTTCTGTGGGTAGATGGCTTGTGGGACCACCAAGATGTTATAAACCTCCAGAGGAAACGGGCTGTACTGGGGTGGCCACAGACTATATACTTATGTGTACATGTGGGCACCCACACACACATACACACACACACACACACACACACACACACACACACACACAAATCCTCCCCTAGTCCATGAAGACAAATGAGGGGCTGAGACCCTGAGTATGTACAGAGCCCTGGCCATTGCCCAGGTGTGGCCGTGAGACAGACAGACAGACAGACAGACAGACAGACAGAAGAGCCCAGGGACCATGCATATGAACGGGGATTGGAGTGGCCTGCCCTGGCCACACGCACACTTCACAGCTGGAAGGGATAATCCCTACAAAGATAGCCTCTCTGCCCATTCACCTATCCTTACCCTCAACAGCCAGAGGAAACAAATATACACTTTTAACATGGCCTTTGTGTCTGGCCCTCGTTATGCCTCTGACCACCTCTTCTGGCGTCTCCATCTTTTACCACCCTGCTGTTTCTCCTGCCTCTGACCTTTGCTCCTGCCATTCTTCCTTCCTGGGGTGCCCTCCCCCAACAGATCCACCTGGCTGGCTCCAGCCAATGTTGCCTAACAAGAAAGGTGTCTCTGACCACCTCTGAAACGGCCGCTTGGTCCATCACGGTGCCCATGACCTTGCTTTATCTTCCTTCAGAACCGGCACCATCTACCACGTCTACATTTGTTTTCTTGCTCAGACTCGTCCAGGCTATGATAGCACTTGTGTCATGTGAGCATCTCCCACATGGCATAGCCCTGAAGCCTCTCTCCACAGGGCAAATACTGACCCCTGGCAAAGGTTCGGCCTCAGGTCTATGTCTCAATGCCCTTTTTGGCCAAGTAATTTCCCAAGTGAGCATCTTGACCTCTAGGTGTTTCCTCACCTATGAATAAATGAATGAATGAGAAAGGTATTCATTGAGAAAGGTATGGCAGGTCAGAGGACTAGAAGGCCAGGAGGACAGGACAGGCAGCCCCTAGCCTCCAGACTTAGAAGCACGGATGTACCTCAGGATCTAAGTAAGGAATGAGGGGGTAGGAAGCAGTAAAGAGCAGGCCCAGCTTGCTCAGACAGGGAGGAGCCAGCTCAGGCCTGAGGCTGTTCTCTACAGCTGGCCTGTAGGGCCCACCTCATGCCCAGGCAGACCTGTCCAGAGGAGGCCGCAGACCCAGAACACTATACTTCAGGAGCTAGGCCACAGCCTTTGTCAGGTCTGCCAGATTTTGTGAAAGACAAGAGCCAGGGGTCCATTTAAAAATCTTTTTTTTTTAATTAACATCATCTTCCTGTTTAGCCAAGTGTCTGTCATGTATAAGGAATGTCGGTAAATATTCCATTTGAAGCTTCTTTGTACATATTTCCATCGATAAATAAACTCTGAATTCACATAAAAAAGTTAAACTTAAATAACTCATATTTCCTTCTCTGGTAACAGGCATATATTGGTAAAATATAAATATTCTTAGACTCAGGCTTTGCTCTAAGTGAGGAGAACAGTAATTCACCACATGGTACAATTGTTGACGATAAAACCGAGAAGTTGTCAGCTGGTGTCCTGGCATGGACGCATACTGAGGTGGGAAACAGAAAATTCACATTTGGTTTGGGGCCAAAGGAGGGACAGGAGTGGTGGCGGCAGGGGTGGGGGCAGGGCAGTTGCTTTCTTTACAAGGCTGATAAAAATAATCTGTTCTGCCACTGAATTTTACCTCTGAATATATTCTTCTACATTTGCCAATTAAGTCTGTAATCATTTTGCTTAAAACTCAGGTGTCGATTAACTGAATATGGCACATAATCCATTTTGAACGACATCAGTAGATTCAGAAAACTATCATGGCGCTGGAGGAGAGAGATGTAGGAAAGAGCGGTGATTTGGGCGGCATGGTCAGTTCACTGTGGTCAAACATCCATCCAGGGCCTCGGTGCAGCAGATTCATCCACTGAGTGACAGAAGGCCCAGGCAGGGCCATCCTGGGCCAGTGTGGCAGGTGGGGTGGGTAGCCCGCTCACAGCACTCGGGGAATAATGGTGAAGGGCACAGCAGGGCTGCTGGCCTCCAGCTCCAAGGCCGTCAGGAAGCATTCGGTGGCTGCTGCATCATTGCCCTGAGCTTGGAGGACCTCGCCCAGCCCGTTCCAGACTTCATGGGCCGTGGAGTTGACCTGTACTGCATCCCGAAGGATCTTCTCGGCCAGACTGTATCGGCCCAGCTGGTGAAGGATCAGGGCCTGCAGGAGAGAGGAATATACACAGTCAGAAAGACACTCCAGGTAGCTACTTGACCTTGACTTTTATGAGGTCTTTGGAGGTGAGAATATATCTTTAACTCAGTGAGGCATATAGCAAGTCTCAACCAATTCTTGGGCTCTGGGGCAGCAATCCAAATTGTTTCTTGAACCACATAAAACTGCTGAAATTCACCCACTTCTGAACTCTAAAAAAGGCAATTTCAGTCAGGTGTGATGGTTCACAGCACTTGGGAGGCTGAGGCAGGTAGCAAGTTTAAGGCCATCCTGGACTACATAGTGAGACTGAAAACCAGAAACCCAAGCCCAAGTCAAACAACAAATACCCAAACCCAAACCCAAGGCAACTTTATATGAGTCATCCGAAAATCTGTCAGGAATCGACCAATTGGAAAGCCATGGTCTATAGTGACCCAGTGCAGGTGACCTGCGTAGGTGACCCAGCTACAGTAGTCTATGTGGGAGGGTGACTGCCATTTGTGGCATGACTGTTCAAATGGTTGTGAAAGATTTTTTTTTTTAATTGCTCACATCCTCTTGTCTTGAAGGCTTATCCCAGTTCAGCCATGCAAACCTGTCACCTCTCAATTTTGATCAGGGTGTATCTGTCCCCAAACATTTGATCACAGCTAGGTTTCAAAGCTGTGCAGGTCAGCAAGTGCTTTTTCATCCAATGGCTACTCTCCTACATAATCAGTTCTTCCTTCATGTGGAGAGACACTGATGTCGTGGCCAACCTTGGCTCTTGAAAGTGACACAGCAAGGAACCTCTTTCTGGAAAGTGCTCCTTCTTTGTTCTTTTAGGTCAATGCATTCCAAGTCTTTTTTAAATTGAAGCAGAATCTCACTGTGTAGCTCAAGCTGACCTCTAATTTGTGGTGACCCCCTCTGCCTCCTAAATGTTGGAGATTACAGGCATGTGCAGCTACACCTGACTGGACTGCCAGCAGATCTGGTGAGATGAATTCTTGAGAAACCCTTTTGGTCTGTGTATAGACAGACACTGAGGAGATGCTCTGGATGGAGGGCTGGGTAGCCTGGTGTCCACTAGCACTCCTCACAGTAGCCTTCAATAGCCATTTGGAGAGTCTCTCTTTAGGGTAAATGCCCCCAAAGTGGCTGTCTTTGGGGAACAGGCTATGACTCTTTCTAGGGTTCTCAAACCTGTTGCATATTTATCACAAGGGTCAGTGTCACTTGGGTGCTCAGGAGGTCAGTGGGTGCCCCCCTCTTCTGTCTCTTTATCTGTGCAAATGCTGTGAAATCTTGTTGAAATCTGCATTTCGTTAATAACTGAGGTTAGCTAGATCCCCTACTTCAGCTTCAAGTCTTTTAAAAGATTGACAGTGAGACTGTCAATAGTTTTCTGTTCTTTGACTTTTGACTTTTCTCTGAGCCAAGGTTCTCAGGTAAATCTTTTTTAAAAACCTGAGAACCTTGACTCAGAAAATTCAAAAGTCAAAGAACAGAAAACTATGGTAGCAATTGTGTGTGTGTGTGTGTGTGTGTGTGTGTGTGTGTGTGTATGCCTGCCTGTGTGGATTTATGCATACCATGTGCATGTAGGAGCCGGGAGAGGCCAGAAGAGGGTATTGGATCCCCTAGAACTGAAGTTACAAGCGATTATTAGGTTCTATGTGGGTGCTGGGAACTGAACCTGGGTCCTCTGCAAGATCAGTAAATGCTCTTAACCATTGAGCCATCTCCCCAGCCCCAAGGTTCTTAGTTTTTAAATTCAATTTATTGCTGGCTCCAATTTGTAGTGGGGGTCACTCCCAGGCTTTGAAAGTTTCTCTTCATAGGACTGATACTTATTCACTGTGTACTGCAACTCGCCTTGTTTTAAGTAGCTGACTACTTCACTACAGCAAGCAGACAGGATTTCTGTTGCTGGGCTAGACACAAACTGGCTAATCCTGCCTGCTCTTTGCTGTATGGGAAACTGGCTCTGCAATACAGCAGATAGTAACAGGAAACAGGGGCTTTCTACTGTGTTCCAATGAGCTGCAACAGCTAACTTCTCTATCAGCACTATGCACCGTGCTGTTATAATTTCCACTACTCAAACCATGTTTTACAGACAGGACTGAAGTCTTTCCTCTCTGCCCTTTGCTTTCGAATATTTCCTGACCACTAAATTTTAAAAAAATTATGTATGTATACCATGGGTGTGCAGTGCCCATGGAGGCCAGAAGAGGGCATTGGATCCCCTGGAACTGGAGTTATAGATTGTTAGCCACCATGTGGGTTCTGGGAACTGTACCTGGGTCCTCTGCAAGAGTAGCCAGTGCTCTTAACTGATCACCCATCTCTTTGGCCCCTATTTGCAGACCATATTGCACTGAACTATCACAGATGAATGTGGCAATCATTTGGTTAGTCCCTTTGGGAGTGAAACTGTACTTCCATTGAATTTTTTTAAAAAATGCATGGAGAAACTGAAATCTTTATGGTAATTTTCCTACCTGAGAACACTGCATGGCTTGACATCATTCAAATATTGCACTAACCCTCCCAATAAAGCCTTGTTCTTCTCACAGTACAGCTCATGTTTCCCACAAAGTAGGTCGGCCTGCTCTCAAGACTGTATTTTATACCTAGCAAGGGCAGCAGGTCAATTCTCAGGAGCAGAACTGGCCAGCACAGTGGCATAAACAATGGAAGGCTGTGGACCAAGGTACATGCAGGTGATAGCACCACGAGCAGAGGGGTGGGTGGGGCTCACTCTGGGAATACCTATGAGACAAGCTCTGCGAGGAAGTAAGGGGTACCTGCAGCAAGCAGTGTCACGCCCAGAGGACAGCTTGAGATGACTTCTCAGGACATGTGCCCTGAAGGTGCCTGAAAAGTAGCACCTTGAAAGGGACTTGAAAGCCACCCAAGATCCACCTGGGAGGGGCTGAAGGTCAGTGGGATGACAGCCAAGCAGCTTTGTGGCGGTCCTCCACTGGGAGTTGCAGGAGAACCATAGCCTTAGTGGGGATAGGGCTCAGGAAGTCTTAATGGGTGAAGTGGAAAAAGAAGAGGACGAGGAGGATGAGGATGAGGATGAAGAGGAGGAAGAAGAGGACTGGTAGAGATGGCAGTGGCAGCCAAGCTACCTACCACAAGAGCCAGTCCCAGTGCACGTGGGCTTCCTCTCAGCTCTCTATCCCTCTCAGAGGACAAGGGAACTGGGTAGGAACAGGAAGGATGTTCAACTCTGGAGCTGACCTTCTTGAAGAGATGAGTATTACACCACTACAGTTAGACAGTAAATGCTTTCCTAGAGTCTGTGACATATCCCGTACTGTCCTATGTTCATTTGATTTCCTGGGGACTCCCCACAGCTATTTCATAAAGCATGGCCAAACCCAATGTGCAGGAGTGTCACTCTAACTACCTCAGTGAGCCCCAGCTGTGAACAACTGGCATCATGTCAGGCGGCTCTTCATTTTGCAGGTGAGCAAACAATGGCTCCTCCAGAGGCAAGCATCAAGTTTCTGGTATGCAAAAGGGCCATCTGGAATCCCCTCTCCTAGCTCCTGGACCTGTCTAAACTTCTGTGTGAAGTGGTCGGGGGTGGGGGGAGTACTCCTGCCCTACTTGGACCTCTTTTGGAGTAAATATAATAACCTGACATCATTACCACCCAACCTCAAGAACCTGCCAGTAGGATATCAGGTCTGTGGAGTTCCTGCCTGTTCCTTCGGGGGTGAGGGGGTTGGGGGGAGGGCCTCTATCAGCCTAACTCTCTCTGGAGCCTTCCAATGGAGCCAGCTGGAGATGGGGACAAGCAGGGTCCTGGAAGTTGGAGCAGGCAGCAATGTGGAGGGGTTACAACAGGGGCCTTTCTCATCCCTCAAGATGCATCTCAATATTTCATGATACCAAATACACCTGAGAAAGGGTGGTTCTCAGGGTGGGGAGATCCATTGCATTGACAAATGAGTGCCAAGGGAAAGGCCACCACGGAAGGCACAAAAACATTCTTGTTTTACACAGTTTTATATACTAGGCTTAGGCTGCCCTTGTGACTCTAAGAGGTGAGCCTGAGGCAGAGGCTGTGGCAGAAGCACAGGGCTTTCTGGTAGCACGACCCAGTGCATATAGGCAATAACCTACTTATACAGATATCCAAACAACAGTGAACCAGCACCTGCCACACTGTTTCTCTGACCATTAACTGATTGGACTGCTCTTTCCCATGTCATGACTAGGAAATGACTCCTTCAAGCCACAGCTATTCTCCAGCGTTGGCCTGCTATCTAGGAGCATCCTTCTTATTTACTCATGGACCAAGAAGCCTCCTTGCCTTCCCAGTGCCCAGACTTGCTAGGATCTTGAGGTGTGGCATGGCTTCAAGTACCAAAGGACTGGGGTATTGTCAGCCAGCAAGTGAACCAGTGTAAGATCTGGAGGGTGCTGTTCTCCCAATGGCTACTGTCTTCACTCTGCAGGAGCAGGGCAGGAGGTCCTCCAGCCCCTAGGCTAGGAATTTTGTTTAGATGTGGTAGGCCATTGAATATGGGTGCAGCCTACTATGAGGGCTTCAAGGTATAGGGCAGGGAATGTCTACCCTGTTAAAAGCCCTGCAGGACACAGTCCCAATGGGATCACCTGTCACTCTCAGTTCTGGGCAGCTGGGGTAGGGGGTGTCTCTGTGGTTTCCTAATGGTTAGGCTTTGGTCCTTCATAGACCTGGACCTGACTCCTAAGGCAGGGGCAAGCTGCCACTCCCAGATGACCTTGGAGCTTCCCAAGCAATGTGTTTAGTAGAATGAATTCCTAAACCTAGAGCTGCCCAGGGAGCTAGAAAGACTGTCAGTGAAGGCCTGGCACAAGAGTGAAAAGAGTCCTCTGCCCACCTCTCCAGTGAGCTAAGGCCAGCTGAGAATCAGTCACACCAAGAAACCAACCACAGCATGCTCTCTATGCAAAAAGACTGGCCAGGGGTGGGCTGGGAGTGGGACATGGGTGGCCATCAGGAGCGACACGGGTGG